CCACAACTAAACTTTTGGAATTACCATTCAATTCCTAAGTAGATTTAAAAAAAAAAAATTAAATTCTAAAAAAAACCATCATATTCCAAGTTCAAAAACCACCACTATTTTCCACCATAACCACCTCTGCCTTTTACCACCACCACCACCTACTTCCACCACTGCCACCGTCTTTCACCACCACCGCCACCACCACCACCACCACCACCGTTACCGACACCGCCTTTCACCACAACCACCACCTTTGTGATACCCATCGATTCTAGAGTCACGGGTGATCAAGTCCGAGCACAGATCCAAAGAATACCAAACAATTAAGTATATTAACAAATATTGAGTACAAAAAGAATTTAAGAATAAATAAATAATTAAGCGGAAAGAAAATTAAATAATAAATCATTGAAATACTAATTAAATAATCCTCCAATAAAATCTTCAATATCAATAGAACTCAGGAATCCATCTAATAAACCCCTAATAAAATCCTAACTAAAAGTAAACTGAACTAAAAAAAAAAAAAAAAAAAAAAAAACCAAAACTAAAACATAAATGATAATCCTACGTAGTCGGAAGAGTAAGTGACTGTTTTTACTCAGTACGAACAAGCTCTAAAACTAAAACCATTTGATACCTGGGAAAATAATAGTGGGTCAGCCCACGAACAAGTTCTACTCTACGACAATCCAAATAGAGACTCGATACGCAAATACATACTAGACAACTCAACAATAGCTAGATAGTCTATATATGTATAAATACACACTATAGGACACTCACTATACTATAGGTCTGTCTCAACCTGAATATAAGGTAACATGCAAATCGCACACAAAGTGGACATATATACCTAGACCTACCAAGGTACCCAGATGTTTACTATGTTTAGTTATCCATCCTATGCGATATACGTACCCTAACCATGATCCTGAGACTCAAGCTCATATTACGGTACCATAATCATATATATAAAAATCCATCCAAAACCAAGGCATGTCATTCAACTGTTAATTAACCCGACACATATATAAGTAAGACTTAACCTTTATAGTTAATCCATTCCCTTAATCCAGAATAGGTAGGACTTGGTGTTTTGAACTAATCCATCCCTAATATGCCACTGTTCCATACCGATGCATATAATCCACAAAACAATCCAATAATTGACGACATAATTATGTAACATAATCATCAATTACATATAGAGATAAGCATAATAATAGTCAGACAATTAACTGAATTTATTACTGCTAATACATAATAAACATTATATAATATCCATGAAATTTCTTATAACAATTTCAACAATGAATTAATCATTAAATCAACATACAAATTTAACCATAATTTCATATTGATTACTTTCATATCATAAAATGTATATATTTAAGCATTCTGGGATTTTAACAATGTTCAGTGTAGCCATTTAAAACCCCCATAACAATCTAAGTCACTTCAGAAGACCCCAAATACCCAAACCAGTAGCTAGAACCCATTTCCGTAGGGTTTCCAACAAGGGACCCGGCTCCCCCTTAGTGGGAGCTGGCTCTTATCCTCATGGAGCTGGCTTTCTCCAGGAGAGAGCGGGCTCTTGGCCTAAGGGAACCGGCTCCCTTTCTCCATGGAGCCTGCTCTCTCCTATGAGAGCAATACAAAATCCTTTTGGGAGCCGGCTCTCACCCCTTTGGAGCCGGCTCTCAACCCGTTCTGCATTATCTTCCTCATCTCCAACGAGTTCCAATCCCTCTATTCTCCATTGTTGATGGTTCTAAAAGTTTGAACTATGTCCCGCATCATTCCAAATAATGTTATACAGTTGATATGCATCTTAAACATAGATTATAACAAGCTTGCATATAACAAAATTCAGATTAATCAAGAGCACACCAGAACAGTTTTAAATCAATTTTAATCATGCAAACATGGTCAATTTAATTCCTGTTTAGTCCTGGAGTTAACCTAGGCATGCATAGAACACCAGTCTAAGGGAAAGAGTAAGAGAAAGAATTTGCCTTTATGATTTCAGATTAAAATCTCGACGTCATCTTCCTAAATTTTCTGGCGACTTTTGATTATCGTCAAACCTCTACTGCTCTGGTGCTAACCCACAAGCAGATCCCGTTCCTTTTTCCCTTGGTTCAGCCTTGAGTTTCAGTTGAGTTCTCCCTTCTTTCCTCACGGTTTTCTCTCTCAATTCTCTGCTGCCACTTTCCTCTATAAGGTGGCGTGAATAGGGTTTTATAAACCCTAAAGCAGACAACACTATGTATATATATAGGCATATACAAAACCAACCCAAATCCTAATTGCACCCTAAGTTTGCTAACTTAAAAGAAACGAAAATAAAAGAAAAATAAAAAAATAAAATAAAATAAAAAGTCTGCACATGATGAAAAAAAAAACATATATATATATACAATTAACTCATAGCTACATATATATATACACACACACACAACTAACTATAATTATTAATATTAATCACTTGAAATATTAATAAATATAATATCCAAAAATATACATATATACCCATATACATATGCACAACTATCCGTGGGTACCAACTATACCCATTTAATCTCCTATCCAAGTAATCCATACTATCCAAATCCATCCTTAAATAAAAATATAAAATAAACATTGAAATGATTTGTTTCCAAACAAATAAGCTACACACTATTTAATAAAACAAATAAACAAGTACTTCAATTACCACCTAAGCATACAATTAAATTAAAATGAATAATTCAATTAATCAATTACACAATTAAATAATTAGCCAAAAAAAATCAAATAATGAATTTAAAAATGCACTTAAACAATTAATTAAATACCGAGACTATCCTTTTAAAATTAGGAGTATTACAACCTTCCGCCGTCACCACCATCTTTTACCACTGCTACCTTTCATTGCCACCACCTTCCACCATCGTCTTTCACCACTGTTATATCCTTTCACCACCACCGCCGCTGCTGCCTTTCACCACTGCTACCGCTTTCACCGCCACCACCTTCCATCACCACCACTACCACCACCGCTACCACCTTCCACTAATACAACCACCGCTACCGCCTTCCACCACCGCCACCGCATTCCACCACCACCACCGCCACCGCTACCTACGCCACCACCACACTACTGCCACCGTCGCCGCCGCCGCCTTCTTCCAATACCACTACAGCTTTCTACCGCCAATGCCACCATTTATTTAAAGAAAATTATAAAAGAATGTCATTTTGTTAATTTAATTTATTTGCTACTAGAGGGATATTTTGGAGAATTCAATTTGAAATTTATTCCATTCTAAATTTTAAATTGGTCCAACCAAACACTAGAATAGTTATTATCATTCCATTCTTACACATTTCATATTTACAACCAAATAATAGAATGAAAATGATCATTCCATTCTATTCCCATTCTCATTCCATTTCATTCATGCATATCAAACGCATCAGTGTATTAACATTTTCTCTTCTACATCATTGTTATAGGGTAAAAGCCAACAAGTTTTGAAAATTATATAAAAATAAAGTTTATAATTAAAATGATACTTATGATATTATAAAATAAAGAATGATGTATTAATGAGTTTAGGTTCTTCTTGTTATTTTCTTTGAAAAGTAAAGAAAGTGGAGTGCAAATGTAAAAATTTCGAAAAAACAGAAAAAAGAAAAAAAGCAAAAGTTGAAAAGTGGAAAGAGCCTCCTAAAAAATATTTATTTAATTATTTAAAAAACATAAAATAATTAAATAAATACTTATGGTGTTTATGTGTCCCTTTCCTCGGTGACTTTTTTAGGGAAAACTACACATAGGTAAAATTAGGAGCCATAAATAACAAATTGATCAGTTTTAAAAGTTAATTTTCTATTTTGATTGGATTAAGCATAATAATTACAAATACATCAATATTTATTGCTCAGGTTCAAAATATCCTCACAATCTTATTTCAAAATCCCAAAATATCCTACTTAAAATTATATAATTTCAATATAATAAAATAAATAATTAAAAATTAGTTTAACCAACGAATACTAATTCTCTATCACTTACCTTCGTCGTCAATCAACCACCAATGTCCAGGGCATTACCCACTTCGTAGGTCTTCTAGGTCCCCCTCCCTCTCTCTCTTCACACCACATATAAATATAAATATGTCATATTTTTGTTCAAGAGTTTCAAATCTAGGACTCTGTAGGCTTTAGAAGTATGTTATATCTTATAAATTTAGGGTTATTGCATAAGGTTATCAATTTGGCATCTCAAAATTTATTGTGATTTTTTATAATTGATTGAAGAAGGAACAACAACTAGCGACCTCTGAATAAGAAAAAAGAAATGCAGGTGGATATTTCAATACTTCATTACCTACTGCTAGGATATGAAATCCTTAATAAATCCCGTTTTGTCATCTTCTAATATATTAACAATAATAATAGTTTTTTTTAGGTAACAATTGAAAAATCTTCTATGTGATATACCATCACTTCCATAGTAAGCTTGTAGAGCTTCCCTTTTCAATTCTTACCTTTCAGATCAGATGATATCAATTCCAAAGGGTAATCCAATGGCGATGGACGATGAAGAGAAGAGATGGAGAATTTTTATTTGCTAGTTAAACTAAATTTTAATTATTTATTTTAATATTTGAAATTAGATAATTTTAAGAAGGATATTTTTGTATTTTGTAATAAGAGTGTGAGGCCATCTCGGACCTTAGTAATAATTTTTGATGCATTTGTAATTATTTTGTTTAATTCAATCAATGTGAAAAATTAACTTTTAAAATTAATCAATTTGTTATTTAAAGTTCTTAATACTACTTATATGTAGTTTTTTCATTTTTTTATACGTGGAACGGTGGGAGTGGGACGTATCCATGTAACTAACATGGGTGAAAGTGGAATTTCTCCCTCCTAGTTTATTGACCATTATCCCCCCTCCCTCTCCCTATCTAACCTATATAATACACAGTCTCTCTTCCCTCCACCACGGCCACGGCCACTGCCACTGCCACTGCCACTGCCACCATGGAGCGACATACCAATATACCAGATTCACAAGCATGGAATAAAATCCGCTAACATCTTATTATTGTCCCGGATGGTGACCCCTTAAATGTTGAAAACCTTAAGACACAAACTGGCATTAGCAGAGACATGCACATGTTTTATGAAAGCTATGAATTTAAATCAAAATTTTGCTGTATAGTGAAAGCGTTCATTATTTTAATCCAGAGCTTTTGCTTGGATTCATACAATATAATATATATTTATTATCTTACCCACCCTAAAAATAGAGAAAAGGTTTGTTATGTTATGCACACCAACTATTTGTGGAATTGACGAGAGGTCAACGTCAACGTCAACGTCAACGTCAACCAGCGACTCGGAAGTTTCGACCCCGTTTCACAGAGCAAGGCATGCTTTATTGACTGATACAAAGCAAAGAATTTTGATTCCTTCTTTCATCTTTGCTCTGTGTTTTCCAAGAATGTCCAAAAGATACTCTGCTTCTCTCGTACTTCACACCCCAACTTCACTTTAAGGTTGACAATCAAAAACAAAAACACAAGATTGGGAAGAAAACCCAATTCAAATCCTCTTGATTTTCAGTGATCGAATTGGGTATTTCTTTCCCTGCAGAGGAAACCTATCATATAGATGGCGGATGCTGCTTTGGGAGTAGCATTTGATAGATTATTGAGAGCTGTTCTTGATGTCAAAGACAGAGCCAGCAACTTCAAGCCCATCCTCGACGAACTCAATTCAAGACTGAGGTTACTCGAACCAACTGTAGGTGAAATTGTGAGGTTGGAGAGAATATTGGACAATCCGGAGGCAGAAATCAATATGTTTACGGATCAGTTGACACAGGCCGCGGAGCTGGTCGACAAGTGCTCGAAAGTCCAGTGGTGGAATTACAAAGCGAAGGTTCACTACTCGACGAAGCTCAAAGAATTCGATGAGAAGCTTGTGAAATTCTTTCAGACCAATGGGCAAGCTCTGCTGGTAAGAGATATCATGAGTATTCGGGCGAGATTGGAAGGAAAGCTGAATGAGTTTGTAGGTTCGTGTGAAGCTCCGGAAGCTCCGAAATTTACTGTTGGGTTGGATGTGCCTCTTCAAGAATTGAGGGGGAGGTTGCTAGAAGATGGTGCACCTGTGGTTGTGCTTTCGGCTCCTGGAGGATCCGGGAAGACTACCTTGGCGAAAAAGCTCTGTCACGATGTTGAAATTAAAGGTATCATTATAAGGATTCTCTCTTTGTTTTATGTCAAATTTAATTTGGTAAATTTCACGTGCATTAGGAACCAGTGGTGCATTTGGATGACTCAATGTTTTTCGTAATGAAAGGTTGATGATGTTAGACTCTAGGTAGGGGAGATATATTTTATTAGGATCTTGTCCAGTAATAATTCTTGTCAATTGTTATTTGTTATCCACACTTGTAAAGATCTTGAAATTTGACATATGCATCTTGTTGGAGCCTAAATCTAAATTTAAGTTATACTCCTTAAAAAACTGGTAATGCCTCTGTTGAAATGAGACATAATAGTTTACAAACTGGTAATGCATTGATGTGCCTGTATTTAATTGGGCCGTGCTAGTTAAATTTATCTAAAACCCTTTAAATCTATGTCATGAATGAATCTTTGGAAGTTGGCACATTGATTTGGATTAAGTGGTTATGTAGTTTCTGCTGGGGCACACACTTGTTTGATTCACCATGAATTGGTCATTCTTTTATTCTTAAATTGGTTTTTAACTGCAAAAGATAAAGTTGTTGACAAACTTCCCAATCTTTGGTGCAGAACTTTTATGTATGAATTTTCTAAAACTTATAAGATATTTTACTTCGTCTTTCTAGCTGATTTTACATCGCCATCTTTTGACAGACAAATTTAAGGACAATATTTTCTTTCTCACGGTTTCCAAGACACCCATTCTTAGGGTCATTGTTCAGACTATGTTTCAACACAAGTCTTATACAGTGCCTGAGTTTCAAAACGATGAAGACGCAATCAACAAACTAGAGATCTTGTTGAAGCAAATACGATCAGGTCCTATATTGTTGGTCTTGGATGATGTGTGGACTGAATCAGAATCCCTTATTGAGAAGTTCATGTTCCAAATACCAGGATACAGAATATTGGTTACATCAAGATCTGAATTTCGAAGATTTGGTTCTACATATAAATTGGAACTATTGAGTGATCGAGATGCCATGGCCCTTTTTTGTCACTCGGCATTTCCGCAAGGTGGGAGCATGAATGTGCCGGAGGATCTTGTCCACGAGGTAGAATACATACACTTGTTTTTGTTGTTACTCATCTGTTAAAATCACACGTTTTCACATACAGATGTGCAGTTATGCTTGCATTTTTTACTATTGTATCGCCAATATTTACACAAAACTTATCTAAAAGTATTTTTCTTTTCTGCAACTATTGATTGGTTAAATTCATTTAATAGAAGATCAAGAAGTAGAGCCTCTTGTTACTTGTCTGCAAATCTGCATTAGTTACATCCACTTAAGTGAAGATCAAGAAGTAGAGCTTGTATTTACTTATCTGCAATTATGCATTACTTTGCTTTCGTTGCAAAAACTGAAACTGATTTAGTTTCCCACATCAAATTGAAGATAGTGAGAGGCTGTAGGAAATTCCCGCTCGCCCTTATAGTGGTTGGTGGATCACTCTATGGAGAACCAGAGGTGATCTGGAGAGATACACTGGAGCAATGGTCTGAAGGACAATCCATTTTTGATTTTGACGGTGATTTGCTTACTTGTCTCAAAACTAGCATAGATGCCTTGGACAAAAAGTATCATATCAAGGAGTGTTTCCTGGACCTAGGTTCATTTCCTGAAGATCAAAGGATCCCTGCCACGACTCTTATGGATATATGGGTGGAACTGTACAACCTGGATGAAGACGGTAGACGTGCCCTTGCCAACATCCACAAACTAGCCTCCCGAAATTTGGTTAATCTTGTGTTTACAAGGTAATCCCCGTTTATCTATTGTAATCCCCATTTATCTATTGTAGTTCCCGTTTATCTAGATATTGGGAGGGATGTAGTGGAAATAGTCCTAAACTAACATTTTGTATTATTTGCAAAATTTGGCTGGTCTCAGACTTGAACATGTGGTCTTACTTTATATCTCAACTTGCTGTTAGCTACAGTAACTAATAATGTCCTTGGCTCATTAGACATGCTAGCAATCAACTTATTGTTATTGTTAGGTTGAATTACCCTGACCTCCCTAATTTTAGAGTAGCCATAAAATAAACTTTTTGCTACTGTTAAGGTAAAAAAATGAGGGCAAACTTTTTGCTACTGTGAATTACCCGTTAATTTCCTTAACAGTAGCCATAAAAGTACCTTGTTGCCCTCTTTTTTTTTATAAGAAGAATTGCTCATCAAAAGAATATAAAATTACTTCTCTACCCTTGTGCCTCTAAAATTCTAAAACCCATTTTGACAAAAATCACCTTTCTCCTATAATCACCACCGTGACACCACCACAACAACAGCCACCAAACTACAATGATCGCCACATCCGTCACCACCACCACTATTGTCCTCTCACTAAATAGACCCATCCCATAGTTTTTTTACTCTCTCACTAGGAAAATGAAGTTTTTCATCTCTCTTCTCCCTGATCATGAAGCCTCGTGTCTTTGAAAATGGAAGGAGAAATCAGCACAGTAGATACTATTGATGAAGAATGTGGTTAAACAAGTTTATTTATAAATTTATTCTTTATGCTTTCAAAATTACAAAATTACAACGCCATCAAGATTTCTGTTATGTAAGAGGAAGCGCATGCTCCTCGATTGATGATTTCTTTGATCTTTTGGATGCTATTGGTCCTCAGGTCTTTTTTCTTCCTGTATTAGGGACGTGTTCCCCTTTTGAACGCTTTTACTTATAAAAAAAATTACAAGATTTAGTACAAACCCATTTTTCGAGCATTAGTGTACTTGTTTGTATTTCTCATTCAAAATTGTTTCTTTCGCCCATATTGTTTGCATTTGCATACAGATATATACACACACATCAACATAAACACACAAGGGATAATGAACCAACACACACAACCAAACACCAAAAAGGCTTCTCAGCTTCTCTGCCGTCATAGAAATCAACAGGACCTTCTCCAAATCCTCGTTCTCTTCTTGCTTCACCATACCCAGATCTATCTTTTGAAACCATGAAAATTGATAATCATAATCAAACTAGATATTCGATTTAATGGGACTTGAGGAAAACCCAAGGAAATTTGACATTTGAAGCAATTTGGGGAGAGGGTTACAGATCAAGGGGGTGATGGTGGTGATTGAATGGTGGAGGCGGGTTGAGAGAGAGAGAGGTGGAAATTCTGATCCACAAAAGGGAGAGGAAATAAAGGAAAAGGGTGGTGGACGGTGGGGTGGCGATGGGAGTTGGTGGATAGTTTGGGCTGTGTTATACTCCCTGTCCCAAAAAAAGGTCTCTTTGGGGAATATAACTTTTTAAGAGTGTAATTTTTTTATGTTTTTTATTATAGTGGTATGAAATGAATTTCCTAATATGCCCTTCTAAAATTGTCTTGACATTTTTTTTTACTGGGACACTTATTTCAAGACGAGGGTAAATTAGGAATATTAAAAATATAGTGCATTGAATTTTGAACTAGGACACTTATTTTGGGACAGCCAAAAAAAGAAAGGCGGAGACTTTTTTTGGGACATAGGGAGTACAAAATTTCCAATTACGGAGTCTAAGTTTATACATATAAATATATACACACTGATATATATGATAATATGGTAGAGAAGACAATTTTTTTATAATATATATATATATATATCCATTTAAAATTATTTGAAACGGTGACTTGATCTTTTTACTTCACTTATTTCTTAAGGCTAGTTTCGGCATTTAAAAAATATTTCACTATCATATTTAACAGCTAACTAATCTGAGGGGTGGTGAGAGAAATTATATCAAACCTCAAGGGAGGTTGACCATACTATTTCAAATAGTTTCATCTGAGAGATATTTCTACAAACCTAAGGGGAGGTCGGAGTAATTCACCCTTATTATTATTATCAGTTTTTGCCAAACTGGAGTAGGAATGGCACTATGCTATTTGCTATTACTGCATGCCTAAAAATTGAATTTATTCATAAGCAATCTGTTTTACTCTCTATTCACAGGGAGGATGCAAGTGAGATTGATGGGTATAATGAGCATTTTGTCACGCAGCATGATCTGCTCAGAGATCTGGCTATTCACCAGAGCAGCCAAGAGTGCATAGAACAGAGGAAAAGATTATTTATGAACATTAGAGGAGATGACCTCTCCAAGTGGTCCTTTGAACATATGGAGCCATTTCATACCCGCCTTTTGTCTATCTCTACAGGTTTGATTATCTTATGTTTTCAATTTGAAACCCCCTAGACAATATTGTATTTATTTCTTTTCCCCCAATTCACAATACGTGCAATATTGCTTGCAGATGAAACATTCTCCTCAAGCTGGAGCAGCATGCTTTTACCTGAAAAAACATTCTCCTCAAGCTGGTTCAGTTTTTCAAATATATGCAAATCATTACTTTACCGAAAATACAAGCAACTACCTGAAGTTGAAGTTTTAATATTGAACTTCCGGACAAGGAATTACAGCCTGCCCAAATTCATGGAGAAAATGGATCAACTGAAGGTTCTCATCATCACAAATTATGGTTTCTGGCCAGCTGAACTAAGCGATTTTCAGCTACTTGGTTTTTTATCCAGTCTAAAGAGAATCAAACTAGAGCATGTTTCAATTTCTTTCCTCAGTGAATCCACATTACAGTTCAGGAATTTGCAGAAGATTTCCTTGATTATGTGTAAAATTGGTGAGACCTTTCAGAACTGTACCTTCGAGTTCTCCCATATGTTCCCAAATCTTGTGGAGATTAACATTCACTGTTGCAGTGATCTAGTGGAACTGCCTGATAGGCTCTGTGATATTATCTGCCTTAAGAAGCTCAGCATCACTAAATGTCATGACCTGGATGCACTTCCAGAAAGACTTGGATGGCTAACAAATTTAGAAGTGCTGCGGCTTCATTCCAGTACAGGGCTGTTAGGGTTGCCAGACTCAGTTGGAAGCCTCCATAAATTAAGGTTCCTTGACATATCGAACTGCCTTAGCATAAGCAAATTGCCAAAGCGTATAGGTGAGCTGTGTGATCTGGAAAAGCTCCAGATGAGAGGCTGTGGAGTGCATCAGTTGCCGCCATCAGTAAAGGATCTTGGGCAATTAAAGGATGTGATATGTGATGAAGACACTGCCGATCTTTGGGAACCTTTTAAGATTCATCTCAACAATCTAAAGACAACTGTGATTAAAGAAGAGAAAAATTTAAACTGGCTTCCCAGTCTCCACCATTGAGAAACCTTAGTTTGAGAAAAATGGTGTGAACCTTAGGTATGTTTATTTGTATTCATTTTCTTCTTCTGAAGCAAGAAATATACAGAGTGGAAAAAAAATATAAATACAACCCATTCTACTGCCACTGATAAGACATTCAATTGCAATTATAACATTACATTTCTGCCAAAGTTTTGATCCAATTATTACTGCCACTGTTCAAAGCATCGCCACTTCCGTCAACCCTCACTAAATTGCTGCGTCCCACTAATACTACCATTGCAATTTGACAGCTGACATTCAACCCACAATAATATGATTGTGCCTTTGCCAGATCCACTCCATTTGGGCAGCTTTGCCGCTTCTGCCTCTGCTTTCACTTCACCTGCACTGTCAAAATTCAAAGTGAAACACTACTAACTACCTATGTTTGCATGTTGGGAAACACCATTGCTTCTTATCATTGCGTGATTTCCTTGATATTGCCCATACATGTTAGCTACGATAGTAATGATAAGTGACTTCTGTAACAATGTTGATGCCTCAGGTTTCAAAAATGGATTTTGGCTATGTAGTCTGCTTGGGAATCTGTTACTTTTTTGTGGATAAGTAATTGGATTTGAACAGCTCTTGAAGTATTATTATTGTTGTTGTTGCTGTTATTATTATTTTTTATATGGGTAAATTAGTCATACAACCAACTCACAAATACATGCACAATAACCTTAACGAGATTTGAATCCTCAATCTTTCATTTGAAAAGGAGGAGATACAACGTGAGCTATCCCGTGAATTACAGTAAAAAGTATTATTGTATTTCATTCATGTGGTTTTCTTTGACAGCACCACCATCACATGCTTCGCTTCTTAATTTGAAATTTAGAGAATGCAACTTACTCGAATAGGATGTTACTGTAATTCGCTTCTTATTTTATGTATTGTAAAGCATAAAACGGAAGCGAAGAGATAAATAAAACAAATAGAACACACAGATATTACGTGGTTCAACCACTAGAGCCTACATCTACGACACAAAGAGCCCAAAGGGCTACATCACTTTTAAAATACTCTCTCAATTCATGTACAATACAATGGTTGGGGCTCCTTTATATTGGAGAAGAAATTATGAGAATAGAAAGAATTAGAAAATAGGAAACAAGGAGGATTTTTCTCTACTTATTCCTCTAGTAACACCAAATCTTCAATAATAGGAAACAATATCAATTACTGAAAGATTTCTCCACTGATTCTTCCATTAAATCTTCAAAACTCCCCCTCAAGTTGGAGCTTGAATGCCCAACTTGCCATTGAGATGACGAGTAACAACAAGTGTGAATGATGAAGAGAGAGGAGAGAAGACGAAAAACAATGCTACCGAACACACTGACAGCCCAAACAAGTCAACAAAAAACTACTGAAGACACGGCAAAGGCGAGGACAATGCTACCGAACACACTGGCAGCCTAAACAAGTCAATGAAAATTGTCGGAGACACGGCAAAGACGAAAACAATGCTACCGAACACACCGGCAGCTCAAACAAGTCAATAAGAAACTACCGGAGACACGGCAAAGGCGAAAAACATTCCTGCCGAACAAATCGGCAGCCCAAACAAGTGACAAATAGTACCGAGAAACCCTTAGCAGCATTTCAGATGGGAAGGGAATACCCCAAAATAGGGGTCCAAACCTAGGAAGAGAAATTAGGCTCTAATCATGTCTTCAAGCATAAAACGGAAGCGAAGAGATAAATAAAACAAGTGGAACACACAGATATTACGTCGTTCAGCCACTAGGGTCTACATCCACAGCACAAAAAGCCCAAAAGGCTACATCTTTTTTATAATACTCTCTCAATTCATATACAATACAATGGTGGAGGCTCCTTTATATAGGAGAAGAAATTATGAGAATGTAAAGAATTAGAAAATAGGAAACAAGGAGAAATTTTCTCCACTGATTCCTATAGTAACCCCAAATCTTCAATAATAGGAAACAACTTCAATTACTTAAAGATTTTCCCACTGATTCCTTCATTAAATCTTCAATAGTTTCAGATTATTTGTACATATCTCAAGACTAATATGTTAATTTGAAATCGTTCTTCTTTGAATTAGACTGAACCATGATTGATTACACGTTACTCCTCCTCTAGAAAGTATCCAACTCTCCTACTACTATTTTTCCTCCACCGTTGCAGTTGGGAATTTGCCTTTTGCTTTATTTAAGTTGTCACTGTTTGCTAATTTAGAGCCAGTCTTTTTTCCTTTACACTCCACTTGAAAGGTTGTGATGTAAAACTGATGCTTAGGAGAATTGTCACTTTTTCCTTATGTTGTGGAACTTCGCCATTTCTGCTTTCTTGTGGTCCGTTGTGAATATTGTAGCTGATCATATGATTTAAAACCATGTCATATTTGTTGATCAATAATATACTCATGAAAAACCATATCATATTTGTTGATTAATAATATACTCATTTTTGAAATACCCCAAGTCAGTCTTACCAGCTCCCTTATGTCTTCTCCTTGATCCCATCTTATTCAACACAATATCCATCTAATCCGATTTGAGTTAGAATCTATAGTTCTTGCCAGATTGGTAAAGCTGATTGACTTTGCTTACATGATAGAGCATTTAAGCAAAGTCACGGCAAAGGCGAGGACAATGCTACCAAACACACTGGCAGCCTAAACAAGTCAATGAAAATTGTCGGAGACACGGCAAAGACGAAAACAATGCTACCGAACACACCGGCAGCTCAAACAAGTCAATAAGAAACTACCGGAGACACGGCAAAGGCGAAAAACATTCCTGCCGAACAAATCGGCAGCCCAAACAAGTGACAAATAGTACCGAGAAACCCTTAGCAGCATTTCAGATGGGAAGGGAATACCCCAAAATAGGGGTCCAAACCTAGGAAGAGAAATTAGGCTCTAATCATGTCTTCAAGCATAAAACGGAAGCGAAGAGATAAATAAAACAAGTGGAACACACAGATATTACGTCGTTCAGCCACTAGGGTCTACATCCACAGCACAAAAAGCCCAAAAGGCTACATTTTTTTTATAATACTCTCTCAATTCATATACAATACAATGGTGGAGGCTCCTTTATATAGGAGAAGAAATTATGAGAATGTAAAGAATTAGAAAATAGGAAACAAGGAGAAATTTTCTCCACTGATTCCTATAGTAACCCCAAATCTTCAATAATAGGAAACAACTTCAATTACTTAAAGATTTTCCCACTGATTCCTCCATTAAATCTTCAATAGTTTCAGATTATTTGTACATATCTCAAGACTAATATGTTAAATTGATATCGTTCTTCTTTGAATTAGACTGAACCATGATTGATTACACGTTACTCCTCCTCTAGAAAGTATCCAACTCTCCTACTACTATTTTTCCTCCACCGTTGCAGTTGGGAATTTGCCTTTTGCTTTATTTAAGTTGTCACTGTTTGCTAATTTAGAGCCAGTCTTTTTTCCTTTACACTCCACTTGAAAGGTTGTGATGTAAAACTGATGCTTAGGAGAATTGTCACTTTTTCCTTATGTTGTGGAACTTCGCCATTTCTGCTTTCTTGTGGTCCGTTGTGAATATTGTAGCTGATCATATGATTTAAAACCATGTCATATTTGTTGATCAATAATATACTCATGAAAAACCATATCATATTTGTTGATTAATAATATACTCATTTTTGAAATACCCCAAGTCAGTCTTACCAGCTCCCTTATGTCTTCTCCTTGATCCCATCTTATTCAACACAATATCCATCTAATCCGATTTGAGTTAGAATCTATAGTTCTTGCCAGATTGGTAAAGCTGATTGACTTTGCTTACATGATAGAGCATTTAATTAGGATCCTGTTGAAATTGCTATAATACGGATTAGAGCAGTAGAGTATATATGTCATAATATTGAAAAAGTAATCTGCATCGTACTTATATATATATATATATATATGTCTTAATAGATGTAAGAAATATCTTGAATTAATACTTAATTTATATGCATCTTGATGATTAGCCTTAAGACATAACTTAACAAACTAAATTGCATCTTATGTTTAAAGATATGTGTTCTGCAAGGTGCGTGGATTATAGAATGTGTTCCGGCTTTCTGGGTATACCATGATTGTACATGAATATATTGATGGTTCTATAGGTGAGAAAATGTATAAGCATGAATAAATGTAGCATGTAATTGTGAGAAAACCAAGTTAAGGAGTATGGTTTGGTAAGATTCAATTAATGGTTTCTTGTTATATATATTACGGGTGGACTATAATACTTCGCGGGGAAACCATGGCCAAAGCCTTGTTGAGAAACCAAGTGATTGCTGATGTGTTAGATGAGTGTATATGTTTTAAGTTGGATTTATGAAGATATTAGTATACTGGAATTATATAGATATATGTGTATGCATATGAAAACATGAACTTAGTTGCCATGGCCAAACCCCTTAATTGTTAGACATAACTAGGTGTATTCTTGAAGAGTTCTTTGTGAATTTTGAAGATTTTTATTCTGTTTTAGAAGTGAAATTAAAACCCATGATTTGGATAGATCAAATGTAGAGTTCAAAATATGTGTGTGTGTATATATACACACACACATCTATATAATCCAAGAACTCTAACAACCCATAAGTCCCAACATAAACCTTGGAATTTTTGGACATTAGACTTGAATTGATGAATACCCCTATATTTAATTTGATGTTCAAGCTTGAAACTGAAGTGGGAGAGCTTGGAAGAACTGTCAATGATTTGAATTAGGGATTTGGGCATGCTGGATGTGTGAAAGAGGAAGAGGATGAAATTACCAATTACAGTGAAGCCCACAAGTGCGAGTCGTGCATGACCCAGGTTGAGTCGGTCCCTTTCAATATTAAAAAGTATTTTTTATTGATTTAAGTATGAAAAATTAGAGAAAAATATAAAAAAGTTACATAAAATATCAAAATTAGTATGTGAAGTAAATAATCATAATATATGGAATAAATGATTTAGAGGGACTTTAGGTCCATTTGTAAATTAATTTCTCTAAAAAGTGGTCCTTAGAGTACTTAATTGAGAGTATAGAATAGTAAAATAAAATTAATTAATGATTTCTTACTATGTTTGGATAAAACTATTTGTGGATAAAATTTTAATAAATGAAGTGAGATTAGAGTAATCTTACACAAATTCGTAAATTTGAAAGTGTAAATGATATATATATATATATATATATATATATATATATATACTGATAATTGAAGTTTTAATAATTCTTCAAAGTATGTAATGGATGTTGGATATGTTCTCTACATATTATCGAGTATCACATGTGTGGTTGAATGTGCTTCTCGGCCGAGAGATTGAATGTATTAACATGTATAAGGAACTAAAGAGAATAAAAGTTTAACAAATGTTAAGATTTACCTTTAACAGTTAATCAATAGACTTATTTCATAATATGTTGAACCAAGATGCAAATTATACTAGTAACGCATGCACATTAGATCATATGATATATGTTTATTAATATATCGTACAATTGTTATTGAGGTATGGTACGAGTTTATTTGTTGAGAGCTATGATTTTGCTGAGCTGTGACACATTTTCTTTTCAATGTTCCAGGTAAGGCACCGATGGAGTTGGATTGAGATTTCAGGGGATGCTCGTCATATTTGCTTTGTTCTTGCTTCTTTGATTATAGTATGAGAAACTTGATTTGTGAGGACTAATGTAATTATGGACTTGTGTTTTCACAATTATGTAATTATGAAATTGTGTTTTTCCTGTCATTGTTATTGAGGATGTTTTGAGGTGAGGAATAATGTAATTATGTGCTTGTGTTTTTCCTCTTATTGTTATTGAGAGTGTTTTGAAAACCCATATGTTGATCTTGATTAAATTTAGTTATTTTAAACTAATCATTTCATTTGATATTTTGTAATGGATGGTGAATCTAATGAAATTGGTCATACAGGTCTAATCTGACAGATATTGAAGTAAACGTAACATTCTTCACTTATCACTGAATCTTGAACACATAAATTTAAAAAATTTATCAAAAAATTTCCATTTACGACTAACACGGTAAATTTTAACTCAAAAATTTTCAGTACCTATTTTACTATTTTATTAAACCTTCTCTTTGTTAACTAGTTCTCTTTGTAATAAATTGTAATATTCATGCTTGTAAACATCACATTTTCGATTAAGGGGTTAAGATACTCTAAATCCATTCCAAGGTTGAAATTGAATTACTTTTAGTAATTTCTGTTCAATCAATCAAGGCCCATTTAGGGTTTTCAGCTTTACTAATTTCGATTTAGAGTCCCAAAGACTCCAAAACCACTCTAAAGGTATATTTTGATTATTTTTTAACATTTCAAATAATTTACATTGTTTAATTGTGGAGTCGATATCCAATTGAATATTAAAGTTTTTGGATCCTTGAATTTGATTCCAATTAAGACCGAAATACCATAAATTCCCATAAAACCCAATCAAAAGGTTCAGAACAGCATTTTATATATTTTTTTTTCTATTTTTCTTTTCAGGCAAACAGCAAGACAACAGAAAACACAACAAATTACAAATCAAATGAAACATTCCGATAAGCCCGTTGAAATATCTCCTCCAGAATAAACTCCAATAATGAGTCCACGTGAGCTTTAGAGAGTTTTGCTATAGCACGGGCTAACTCATTGTCAAGTTGATTCACATGACTAATTCAATTTCACCCAGGCCCACCCGATTGGCCTAATTTTGTTCAAAATTAGGATTTTGAAGTCCAAATCGCTCATTCTCACCATTATTATATTGACACTTCCATGGTAAAATTCCAGCCATTTTACCTAAACGCACCTAAAATCCACCACCGATTGGGCTATTTTGAGATTGTCGATCCGATCCAAATTGTCAAAAAAGGGTTCTAGGTCCAAATATAATCAAAATTGGATCGTATCGCTTAAAATTGAATAAAAATGCAAAAATATAGGTTATTATCCACGAAAAGTGCGGATTAGGCTCGAAAAAATGAGAAGAGTGCAAAATGTTATACCCTGAGGTGTGACACACTGTATTGCAGCCCACATATAGGCATGCAATGAGATTGTTTGCTACAATTTCAAAGATTTTTTAAAACTACGTAGTTTTTGGGTTCTCTTAATTACGATTGACCCAAAACTTCTATGAGCAGTCCATTCCTTCACAAGAATTCAGACGAGCCTCATATTTGCAATCTCAAAGTTTTCTGAGCCTCGAACTGTCTCCAAAGGTATCCAACCAGCACTCGTCTTTTCCTTCTACTTTTAATTTTTGATTTTAAAAAAAAAAAAAAAGTTGACATAAAACTCCCTAAGCATCTAATTTATTACAAAGTGATGTTATTATGACAAAAAAATAATCTTAATATAAATTTAAGAAAATTGTTTCTTTTAATATAAAATTAAAAATACAATTAACTCATTCGACATAGTGGTCTTAATTTTTTTTTTTTAAACTTTTTTAATGGTGCGTCTATTAGAAAATGAAAATACATTGGAATGATTTTTAAAATTTTATTAATTTTTATTTTTAAAAAACTAAACTTTAAAAACAATTTGAAAATTACACACCATTTAAGTGATGTTATAATGACAAAAATATCCTTCAATATAAATTTAAGAAAATTTAGGATTACTTTAAAATGATTTTCATTTTAGGTTTTTCTTTCCTTTTATTTTTTAAAAATAAAATTATAAGAAAATTTTGTAAAATTGTATTGTGGTATTTTCATTTTCTTATAGACACAATTTTTTTTAATAACACTATGCAAAATGAGTTATTTTTATTAATTTTAATTTAATATTAAGGGGTACAATTTTTTTAAATTTGTATTAAGGGCTATTTTAATCATTATTATAACACCACTTTGCAATAAATTGGCTTGTTAGGAGGGTTTTATGTCAATTTTTTCTCAAGTGGGTTTCTTGCCAAAAATTTAAATTAGAGAGGAATTTTATGCAATTTGACCTATTAATTAATAATTTTTGTATGAATATTTTGCTATTTAGACAAAATTGCCGCTCCATTATCAAATTTATTAGAACTCTTGAACTATTGAGTCGTCAACCAAATAACATCTTAAAATATGACAAAAAAAAAAAAAAAAAAAAAAAAATTAAACCACAACATGCTCTCTGCATCATAATGACCATTTAGTCTCCATTAATTTAATACAAAAATGGCTAGAGAGTTTGTAGTGTTAGGAAAACACGAAATAACGACCCACTATTTTATAATCTACCTCCTTTTTAAATTTTAATAAAAAAGTATTTTTGTCATTTCAATATACAACCCATCAAGATTTGGCATTATTAATTTATTTTTCACCCGGACAACTAAAAACAAAGAACCCACAACACACCAAAAGCATCCGAAAAATAAATTTTTTATTTGCTTTTGTTAGTTTAGGGGTGTGTTTGATAGTTCAAGGAGAAAAATAGTAAATTCAGTGATATGAGGATGTTTTTGTAAAATTATATACATATACAAAGATGCAATTACATTCTTCACACCCAAACTCTAGTAAGAATGGACAATCATTTGAAGATCCGTTAACCCAATTCCTCTTTGAGATAATTCACACCCTTCATCATTTGCTTTTGCTAATAAAATTTCCGACATCCAAAAATTTTGGACTGGAGTTGTAGCCCTAGATACAACATATTTATTTATTAGTCTTAGCAAACTCGAGAAAAAAAATTCAAAAATAGATTGGATTTGAATTGAGTAATTGGAATGGAATAGAATTAAAAATTAACTGGTTGAGCCTGAATTGTAGCCCTAACTTAGATGGTGTAGAATTCTTTTATTTTTTATTTTTGTAACTATGTAAAATAGTAATAGAGGATTAAAAAATAATCACTTTTTAAATTTTCTATTAAAAATATTTTGTTCCCTTGCCACGAAAAGAAAAAAGGAAAAAATTATAATAAAATCAGAATATTGATAGGCGTGTATTTATGGATTTGTAGTTATCAAATACACTCCATATCAAGATAAAATGTCTATAACCATTTAACTAAAAATGTCTAATGGCAAGTAAGGTCGAACTACGCAGTCAAGATGAGTTTCTATTTTCGAACAAGAGATTTAAAAACATTGATTTTGAGGTTTTTCACGAATTATGAAAATGAAATTATAACTTCAAAACATTAAACTCTTAAATGAGAATAAAACTTGTGAAAATAACTTGCATTAAATTAGAGAAAGCTTTAAGAAAAATTACATAAGTAAATAAACTCTCAATGAAAAATACAACTATTTCTAACTATCTATTTTTTATCTCTAACGTCTAGCTCCTTCTGACTCCAGAGTCGGCTATTTATAGCCAAAATTGTGTATCCACAACTGTTGCCTTCTGATCAGTATTAACTTCTCCGACTTCTTTCTTCCTTCACGCCACCTCGCTACACCTTACTTTGACCACTTCTATATTTACTTCACATTTTCTTCCTTTCTTTGTTGACTCTTCTTTCCTTTATTTCCTTTTTTTTTTTTTTCTTCTTTCTCTCTCCTCATTTCTCTCTCATCATCATTCCCTTTTTCTTTTATTTTCTTCTTTCTCTCTCCTCCTTTTCTAGCTTCTTCACGTGGCTTCTTTCTTTTTTCTTTCAAAATATATATACAATATATATATATATATATATATATATATATATATTTTGAAAAGAAAAAAGAAAAAAATTATAATAAAATCAGCATATAAATTCGAAGCCGAACTTATTTTAATAGTATATTTACTTTTTAATGTGTGCGTATATAATTAATTTACTTGAAATTTTCTGTCGTGAAAATTACACATATATTATAGAAATATATAAAGAACAATACAAACTTGAGAAAATTTAGGATTACTTTAAAATGATTTTCATTTTAGGTTTTTCTTTCCTTTTAATTTTTAAAAATAAAATTATAAGAAAATTTTGTAAAATTGTATCAAGGTATTTTCATTTTTTATAGAGGCAATTTTTTTTAATAACACTATGCCAAATGAGTTATTTTTATTAATTTTAATTTAATATTAAGGGGTACAATTTTATTAAATTTGTACTAAGGGCTATTTTAATCATTATTATAACATCAATTTGCAATAAATTGGCTTGTTAGGAGGGTTTTATGTTAATTTTTTCTCAAGTGGGTTTCTTGCCAAAAATTGAAATTAGAGAGGAATTTAATGCAATTTGACCTATTAATTAATAATTTTTGTATGAATATTTTGCTATTTAGACAAAATTGCCGCTCCATTATCAAATTTGTTAGAACTCTTGAACTATTAAGTCGTTAACCAAATAACATCTTAAACTATGATCAAAAAAAAATTTTCCTAAACCACAACATGTTCTCTGCATCATAATGACCATTTAGTCTCCATTAATTTAATACAAAATGACTAGAGAGTTTGGCTGCAGTGTCAGGAAAACACGAAATAACGACCCACTATTGTATTAACAGCTAATGTATTATAATGATGGAAATTATTATTGAAATAATATTTCTCATAAATATAATTTAGCTACTAGAATAATATTTATATTAAATTATCATTAATATGATTTAATTATATTTTTATTAAAATATTCAAAACAGTTTCGACTCTAAACTATTCTAGTGTATAGAGTTGTTGAATCAGTAAAAAAATAGAGAAGGTTCTGAAATTCTAAAATTTTCATTTTACTTTATAGAGTGTGTATTATTAGGAAATTTCGATCCCAATATTTTCGCATGAATTTTCCCATCGGTACATCGGAGTTCGCCAACTTCTCTAATTAACATCCACGAAAAAACAACAAAGCTTTTGAAATTCTAAAATATTGTTTTAGCTTGACACATACTTTACACCCGAACTTTATTGAAGAGTTGACAAAAAAAAAAAAAAAAACACACACACACACACAAAAAAATAATAAATAAATAAATAGAAGAACTGGAAATTTGGTTAATCTTGTGTTTACAAGGATCTTAAGGTTCCATTATGCTTTAAAGTGACCATAGTTTGTTCATTTGATGATTGTTTTGAGAGTAAATTTGTGAATGTCCATCACACACACTGATGGTCCAACCCATGCTAGTGTTGCACAGGGTGGGACTTGGAAGCTTCAAAGTTCAAATGCCTCACTTTTATGTGCTGCATTTAGTTTGTGCATGTACTTATAATTTTTTTTTTTTTAATTTTAATGACGATGCAATTATTTTCATAATTTTACAAAGAGGGTATTTTCATCATCACCCGAGTGCTTGTCTATTTGAAGTTTTGAACCTAAACAACCACTGTTGGTGGAATTAAAAGTAAACGTCGAGCTCCGGAACAAAGCAGAGAAACTTCTGAAATTCTAAAATATTTAGAGAAAACGCGGTTTTCATAAACTGTCGAATTCCAGGAACAAACAGAGAAGCTTCTGTAATTCTAAAATATTCACGAAGGAGAAAACAGGCATTCATAAACAAATTGTTGAATTCCACGAAAAAACACAGAAACTTCTGAAATTCTAAAATATACCTTGCACCTGACATACTTTAACACCAGAGCTTGGCTAAAGATTTTGACAATCGAAAACGAAAACAGAAGATTCAGAAGCCCAATTCAATTCTTCTTGTTTTTCAGTGAATTGGGGGTTTTTCTTTCGGTGCAGAGCAAAACAATCATGGACATTGTTGGAGGGGCTCTTTTGGGAGCAGCAACCGGTGAATCACTGACAGCTGTTATGGATTTTTCAGACACAGCCATCAACTTCAATGACAACCTCCAAGGATTCGAATCAAGAGTCAATGCAATCGTACAAATTGTACGTGAGATTCAGGAATTGGACGGACAATCGAACCAGGAAGAAACCAAAATGTTCACCGATCGGATGGAAGAGGCCCAGAAGCTTATCCGCAAGTGCTCGAAAACCCCGCGTTGGAATTTGGTCAAGAAGGCTTCCTACTCGAAGAAGCTCAGAAAATACGAAGATTCGCAAGTGAAGTTCTACCAGACCTATGGGCAAGCTCTGCTCATAAAGTATGTCAAGAAGATGCTAGCTGTTCCTGGAAGATGCGGGAACCAGTGGACTGTTTCTGTTTCTGGGGCTTCCGGTGGGAAAGGTCGGCACAGCAAGGTCTTCACCTTGAAAGGCCTCCGGGACCGTCGAGTTCGCATGTCCGTCCACACGGCTATACAGTTCTATGATCTTCAAGATCGTCTTGGTTTCGATCATCCCAGCAAGGCGGTTGATTGGCTATTAAAAGAGGCTGCTAATTCCATTTCTGAGCTTCCTTCAATTACCACTTCATTTCCCGATATACAGGAGCTCAGCGATGAAAAGAGGTCCAGTGCAGGCACCGAACAAAGGTTTGGAGATTCTTCATTTCCTAATACACAGCAGCAGCAGCAGCAGCACATTTTTTTGTCGAAATGGACTGGTAGTAGCACTTCAGAGACCAATAAGGGCTCCGGTTTCTCTCTTTCCCAGTCTGAGAGCCGGAGAAAAGCCCCAGAAAGGGCTGCCCTGAAGGAGAAGGAGAAATTCAATGCGTCCGGCGTGGAGAATCACCCAAATGGAAACCCAATCTCGCAAACTTCTTTCACTGAACTTCTCACCACAATCCATGGATCATCTCAACGAAAGCACGGTGGTGGGGAGCCTAATTTGTTTCCCAAGCCAGCTCCCCAGTGGTCTCCTTCAACTCCGATGGATTACTTTTCTTGCGGACTTCTTGGTCCGTCCTCATTCCGGACCAGTCAAATTCAGCAATCCTCGTCTGGGTTTTTAGAACAGATTCATTTGGGAAATTCCCTGCCACAATCCATGACGATTTCGCCCTTCAATGTTGCAGGAGACCACCATTCCGAGCTGCAGCAATTTTCTTTTGTCCCGGACCATATCGTAACTGATGCCGGCGGCAGTGATTACAATCTCAACTTCACAATCTCTTCGGGCCTTGCTGGTTTCAATAGGGGGACGAACCTTCAGTCCAATTCATCCTCTCATCTTCGGAGGTTTTCTCCTATAGACGGATCAAATGGATCTTTCTTCCAAGGGACCTTAGCTCCGAATGCTGCTCCTGTGGAGATCAATCATCATCATCAGTTCCCAGCTGGACTTGATGGTCGCTTGCAGCTCTGCTACGGGGATGGCAACCGGAACTCCGAACACAAGGGGTAAGGAAAGAATTGAGTTCCTTGAAGAGCTAGCTAGTTCCTCTTAGCACGCGTTTTTTTTTTTTTTTTTTGTTGCACAATCATGGGAGTTTCTACAATTATGTTACTCTTAAAGGCCTGTTTGGCATGCGCTTTATTTTAAAGGTCCGTTTGACATACGATTTGTTTTAAGTGTTTTGTTTTTAGTTAAAACAAAAATAGTATTTTTATTGTAGGAGTGTTTTGAAAAAAAACCGGAAGCACGTTTAGAAATGATGTTTAGCTGTGAAAATTTCAAAAACAGAAATATACAAAACATGTTTGGTAGGTAATATGTTTCAAGAATTTCAAAAACAAAACATATTTTGTTACTTCAATTGAAATTGGTAGAGATAAAAATAGTCACAGAATTAGGTATGAGTAACTTTTATTTTCTCCACTATCCTTGGTTCTTCTTAGAGAACTCCTTTTCTTTGCTCATGTATTGGTATTATTATGATTAGTAAACCCCAACATTTCTTTTGCTTTCTTTGGAGTACGTAATCTTTCTGTGAACCTGTAGGCTATGTGTCATTGCCTACTGGTTTGACTTCATTGCTTCGAGATTTATTTATTTATTTATTATTATTATTTTAAAAAAAAAAGATAGTTAATTCAATTCAACTCAACTTAACCAAACCATCCATTCCATTGAAATACATTTAATAACACAATATACAACCTGTTGTGTATAATAATAAAAAATTCAAAAATTTTACATAAAGATGTCTCAGCTAGGGCTGCAAGTTGGGCTGGCCCAACCCAACCCAGTCCCAACCCAACCTCAATCCGAATTGGGTTGGGTTGGCTTAACCCGAATTGTACTCAACATGGGTTATGGTCATAACCCAGCCCGAATATTTTTGGACGGGTTGAGTCGGGTTGACGGGTTGATTTTTTTTAAAAAATTTTTTTCAGAAACTTATATATATATATATATATATATATATATATATATATATATATATTATATTTGATTATATTATTAAAAAACAAATTATATATATATATATATATATATGTATATATTATATATTTTATTCAAGGCAAATCATTTTAGCCTCCCCAATCGCCTCTATCTCTATTCTCTTTGAACTTCCCCCCCCCCCCCCCCCAATATATATATATTATATATTTTATTCAAGGCAAATCATTTTAGCCTCCCCAATCGCCTCCATCTCTATTCTCTTTGAACTTGCCCCCTCCCCCCTATATATATATATTATATATTTTATTCAAGGCAAATCATTTTAGCCTCCCCAATCGCCTCTATCTCTATTCTCTTTGAACTTGCCCCCCCCCCCCCCCTTCTCTCTCTCTCTGCAACTGCAAACTACAAAATCTACAAGAATCAGAACTTCAAAACTCATATATTTCAGTTTTATCTATCTGTCCGCAAGAATCAAAAGTTCAAAATCCATATCGCCCACTGCAAGAATCAAAAATCAAAACTCAGATCTTTCAGTTTCCATCGCCCGCTATTCCAGTTCGAGTTCGCCGTTCACAAGCTTCAGTCGTTGTCTCTCAACTCTCAAGCTTGCCCCCCTCTCTTTCTCTGCAATTGCTAACTTGAATGTATGGGGACGGTGGTAGAGAAATAAAGAGAAAGGAGAGAGAGAGAGAGAAAGGAGGAAAAAAATGAAAAAATAAATTATTTTTTTATTTATTTTGAGTTTTGGGTTGGGTTCGGGCTGAGCCCGAATCTAACATGAATATGTCTGGGTTTTGACAAAACTCAACCCGAACATGGGCCTGATTTGTAAACTTAAAGTCTAAATTTTAAATTTTCGGGTTGGGCTTGGGTTGGCCTGGGTTAGCTCGCCCAAGTTGCAGCCCTAGTCTTAGCTGTCTATTCACAACTCTTGAATTGTATTATTTACAAAAAGCAAAATTGGAAAGAAAAAAAAAAAAAAAATTAAATTCTTACAACACTTCAAGTGCTTTTGAAACTGCATTGACACCATGAAAAACAACGAAATAGGGTAGTGTAGTCCCTTTTAAGTCCAACATTACTGAAGGAAGCAAAGTCCAGTAGGTTCCAAATTTTGCCAACAGCAACATGGTCACAATTGGAAGTTTTCTATATAAAAGCATAACTCTAGTCCACTCCAAACAGCAACAATGAGCCATTTATAGCACCAAACACACAGAACATTATCCAAATAATACTTGAATATTCCAGTCATCATCAACATGAATTCCCTTAAAAATTAGAAACAAAAGGGCATATTAGCATAATGCAGTAACAACAAGAAAATTTATTAAAAGTAATTGAGCAGAAAAATGACGTGTTCACCATTTTTTTAATACTCAGCTACCATATAGCACCAATACCTAAGAGTATCTTCCACCTAAATTCTTCATTTTCCAAGTAATCATCAACATCAATACGCACAAAAATTTAGAAACAAAGATGGAATAATTATAGTCACTTTTTTTTAGGTAATTAGACTTTCATTAACAAATTAAAACAAGTATTCAAGAGGCATTCCCCAGCATAGAAAAAGCTCTAATGCCACCAATCCATAATGAGAAAAGAAAATAAAACTTTCCCAGATATTTTTTTTTTTTTTTAAAAAAAAGAGAAAATAAAATAAAACTTTCCCAAATTTTAAAAGAGAAAAAGAAAAAAGATATGACCAGCAAATTAAAGTCTTTTTTTTTTTTTTTTTTTTTTTCAAGAAGCAAGCTTGATTTTTATTCCTAAATCACAAACTATGACTACAACATTCAAGGAGGTGTACCTCCTCTCCACCAACAAATCAACACAAAAAAAAAAAAAAATCAAACCTACAACCAACAAAGACAATACTCAAAAGGCAGAGAAAAAAAAATTCACCACCGACAAAAATAAATTCTCATAATAAATTTAATATCAAAAAGCCTCTAAACCTCAAACAAAACCAACTTAAAACTCTGTGTCAGCACAACACCAACTATTGCTGGCCTTTCGTTGAAGTAGACAATCTTTCTCTCAACCTAACAACAAAATTATAAAAGGCTAACTAATAATGAAACCACACAGGAGTCCAGCAAATGGTCCAGAGCAAGACTGCCAAACTAATCTTATACAATCTGTAGTACATACCATCTTTAGATAAGTATCAAGGAACCAAAACAAATACCAACCTAGACACAGGTGTAGAACTGAGCATAACCACCACATTACTTTAACTTCTTACTTAAAACTGATTCAGGTAAATTACATTCTCTATTAACCCCTTAAGAGAATAAAATTTGAGTCTGACAACCTCAATAATTTCTCTTTGGAGGATAGAAATAACCCTGATGTCATTTTAAAATAATTTACTATTCCTCTCCTTCCACAAAGTGTATATTGTAGCAGCCAAAACTACCATGTTTAAAGTAACAATCAAAGTATTTCTTTTAAGAGTAATCAGTTAATGAGACTGAGGATACCAAAAAGTGACCTGGGCCTGACTCGATCCAGGTTGTTAAGAACGGATCGGGCAAGAGTAACCGTTTTGAACCAAGTCTTCACTAGTCAGGCCCAAGACCGGGAAATCATGTTGGAAGCCCGGTTTCAAATAAAAAAAATTGAGCCCATAACCAAGAAGAGCTTATAAGAACAGCCCAGTGCAAGGAGTTAGTTAAGAAGCTTCTAGAAGATTTGTAACAGTCTATAAATAGACTGAAAATAGAGGGAAAAGGGGTTGAAAAATCTTTGAAGTGTAGAATTACTCTTTCTAAATTGAAAGTGGAAATTTCTTGCATCTTCAATGGCCCCGTCTATGGGAACGATGAGGATTGATTCACGTTCAATCAAGAGTGATTCGATCAAGACTGATTCGTGAAGAAAAAGCTTAATCTCTGGAAGCTGGATTCAGGTCGACAAGATTATGCTCTGTCTTGCAGGGACCTGGTTCTAGTTGATCTTTAGAGATTGGAATCAGATCTGCAAAACCTTGATCTGTTTATTGAGATCAGATTTGATGAGTTCACGGCAAGAATAGAATCAACAGATTATAGATCAGATCCGGTGGAAAGCGATTGGAATTCAGCTAGTTTGAGACCAGATCTAGTGCGTTCACATTAGCAGCGGTTAGATCTGATCAAGAATTCATGGTTGATGACTCTACTCCGATTAGGAACGATGATAGGAGGTGAGAGTTCTAATCCACATGAGAATGGCTAGCAGACGAAGCTTGACGAGTTGATGAGCTTGATCGAAGCCCTAAGAAGAGAGAATGTAGAATTGCGAGCTGGAATGGAGCATCGGGAAGCTCTGACGATTTCACGACCACCTCCAATAGGGGAGTGAGATATGCAACCTGATGTTGCTTGCTAAGGTGAGCAGGAAGGTAACGATTACGTGGATCCTCGCCACGAAGAGATCAGGCCAGGCGATTTGCCACCAAATGTTCGTCACGTGGAGGATCGAGAAGGATCTATTCATTTGGTTCTGCATCGTGAGCGGATCAGGCAGGAGGATGCCATGGCATTCGATCCATATCAAGAAAGGCTGAGGCGAGAAGAAGCCATGGAGTATGGTCACAATAAGGTTACACCGTCATGGCAAAGGGAGTTAACAGAGGAACGGTCTTGCGATCCTCCATATTGACCGTCAATGGCCACATACGAATATAGAGGTCTGGACAGGGGGTCTGTTGAACAGAAGACATTCTCAAAGTATCTAAGGGATAATGAAGCTCTCTGTTCATCAACAAGAACGGTTGCTTCACCATTTACTGATGAGATCCTGAACGCTCTGAATCCGAGGAAGTTTTCCATGACAGTTTTCATCCTGTTTGATGGAACGAGTGACCCGATCGATCACATTTACCACATTTAGTTGAAAATGGCTCTAAACACGGAGAATAATCCTTTGATGTGCAAGTGCTTTCCTACAAGTTTAACCGGGCCAACGCTCAATTTGTTCAAGAATTTAGCCAAAGGCTCAATCGCTAGCTTCCAAGACCTGTGTGACAAATTCATTAGCCAGTATTATGGGAATAAGCACCCGACCAAAGATGTCTCAAGTCTGTTTACAATGAAGCAGCACGAAGAAGAGCGACTCCAAGCTTTCCTCACCAGGTTCAACCTCGTCAAAAGCATGGTAATGGAATGTCATCCATCTACAGTGGTTCAAGCATTCAAGCTAGCAATGAACCGAGGGACACCGTTCCACACAAGTCTGGTGGTAAATACGCCGAAGACCATGGATGAGCTGAACGAGAGAGCTGATGGTTTTATGCGTTTGGAAGAAGAAGAAGCAGCTAATGCAAGGAAGACATCGATTATATCAACAGAGGAGAAGTCCAAAGCCAAGATCCGGTAAAAACAAGCTCCGCCACAGCGTCAAACCTTCTGGAAGGCAAAGTAGAGGCCTAGAGAAGAGGAGTT